TTTTTTTCTTGGGCTGATAGCTTTGAAGATATGTTCTGATGGTGGTGAGAGTGGAGCAGGACTGTCTCCGTGGCGCAATTGGCTAGCGCGATCGGCTGTTAACCGAAAAGGTCGGAGGTTCGAGCCCACCCAGGTGGTGGTGCGGCGCTTTTTTTTCTTTGGGCTGATAGCTTTGAAGATATGTCTTATGGTGGTGAGAGTGGAGCAGGACTGTCTCCGTGGCGCAATTGGCTAGCGCGATCGGCTGTTTAACCGAAAAAGTCGGAGGTTCGAGCCTACCCGGTGGTGGTGCGGCGCTTTTTTTCTTTGGGCTGATAGCTTTGAAGATATGTTCTGATGGTGGTGAGAGTGGAGCAGGACTGTCTCCGTGGCGCAATTGGCTAGCGCGATCGGCTGTTAACCGAAAAGTCTGGAGGTTCGAGCCCACCCGGTGGTGGTGCGGTGCTTTTTTTCTTTGGGCGGATAGCTTGAAGATATGTTCTGATGGTGGTGAGAGTGGAGCAGGACTGTCTCCGTGGCGCAATTGGCTAGCGCGATCGGCTGTTAACCGAAAAGGTCGGAGGTTCGAGCCCACCCGGTGGTGGTGTGGCGCTTTTTTTCTTTGGGCTGATAGCTTTGAAGATATGTTCTGATGGTGGTGAGAGGTGAAGCAGGACTGTCTCCGTGGCGCAATTGGCTAGCGCGATCGGCTGTTAACCGAAAGGTAGGAGTTCGAGCTCCCCCGGCAGTGGGGTGTGCGCTTTTTTTCTTTGAGCTGATAGCTTTGAAGATATGTTCTGATGGTGGTGAGAGTAGAGCACGACTGTCTCCAGTGGCGCATTGGCTAAGCGCTGATCGGCTGGTTAACCGAAAGGTTGGAGGTTCGAGCCCACCCGGTGGTGGTGCTGGCGCTTTTTTTCTTTGGGCTGATAGCTTTGAAGATATGTCTGATGGTGGTGAGAGTGAGCAGGACTGCTCCGTGGCGCAATTGGCTAGCGCGATCGGCTGTTACCGAAAGGTTGGAGGTTCGAGCCACTCCGGTGTGGTGCGGTGCTTTTTTTTCTTTGGCTGATAGCTTTGAAGATATGTTCTGATGGTGGTGAGAGTGGAGCATAGACTGTCTCCGTGGCGCAATTGGCTAGCGCGATCGGCTGTTAACCGAAAGTTGGAGGTTTCGAGCCCACGCGGTGGTGTGTCGCGCTTTTTTTTCTTGGCGACTGATAGCTTTGAAGATATGTTCTGATGGTGGTGAGATGGAGCAGGACTGCCTCCGTGGCGCAATGGCTAGCGCGATCGGCTGTTAACCGAAAGTTTGGAGGTTCGAGCCCACCGTGGTGGTGCGGCGCTTTTTTTCTTTGCGCTGATAGCTTTGAAGATACTGTTCTGATGATGGTGAGAGTGGAGCAGGGACTGTCTCCGTGGCGCAATTGGCTAGCGCTGATCGGCTGTTAACCGAAAGGTTGGAGGTTCGAAGCCCAACCGGTGGTGGTGCGGCGCTTTTCTTTTCTTGGGCTGATAGCTCTTGAAGAATTGTTCTGATGGTGGTGAGAGTGGAGCATGACTGTCTTCGTGGGGCAATGGCTAGCGCGATCGGCTGTTAACCGAAAGGTTGGAGGTTCGAGCCCTACCCGGTGGGTGTGCGGCGCTTTTTTCTGGGGCTGATAGCTTGAAGATATGTTCTGATGGGTGTGAGAGTGGAGAGGACTGTCTCCGTGGCGCAATTGGCTAGCGCGATCGGCTGTTAACCGAAAAGTTGGAGGTTCGAGCCACCCGGTGGTGGTGCGGCGCTTTTTTTTCTTTGGCGCTGATAGCTTTTGAAGATATGTTCTAATTGTGGTGAGAGTGGAGCAGGACTGTCTCCGTGGCGACATTGGCCAGCGCATCGGCTGTTCACCGAAAAGTTGGAGGTTCGAGCCCACCCGGTGGTGGTGCGGTGTTTTTTTCTTTGGGCTTATAGCTTTGATGATATGTTCTGATGGTGGTGAGAGATGAGCAAGACTGTCTCCGTGGCACAATGGGCTAGCGCGATTGGCTGTTGACCGAAAGGTTGGAGTTTTGAGCCCTCCCGGGAGTGGTGTGTTGCTTTATTCTTTGCGATGATAGCTTGAAGATATGTTCTGATGGTGGTGAGAGTGGAGCAAGACTGTCTCCGTGGCTTAATGGGCTAGCGCGATCGGCTGTTAACCGAAAGGTTGGAGTTTTGAGCCCTCCCGGGAGTAGTGTGTTGCTTTTTTCTTTGCGGTAATGGCTTTGAAGATATGTTCTAATTTGGTGAGAGTTGAGCAGGACTTTCTCCGTGGCGCAATTGGCCAGCGCGATCGGCTGTTAACCGAAAAGTTGGAGGTTCGAGCCCTCCCGGGAGTGGCGTTTTGCTTTTTTCTTTGCGCGGATAGCTTTGAAGATATGTTCTGATGGTGGTGAGAGTGGAGCACGACTGTCTCCTTGGCGCAATTGGCTAGCGCGATCGGCTGTTAATCGAAAGGTTGGAGTTTTGAGCCCTCCCGGGAGTGGTGTGTTGCTTTTTTCTTTGCGCTGATAGCTTTGAAGATATGTTCTGATGGTGGTGAGAGTGGAGCACGACTGTCTCCGTGGCGCAATTGGCTAGCGCGATCGGCTGTTAACCGAAAGGTTGGAGGTTCGAGCCCACCCGGTGGTGGTGCGGTGCTTTTTTTGGGCTGTTAGCTTTGAAGTTATGTTCTGATGGTGGTGAGAAGGGAGCAAGACTGTCTCCGTGGCGCAATGGGCTTGCGCGATCGGCTGTTGACCGAAATGTTGGAGTTTCGAGCCCTCCCGGGAGTGGTGTGTTGCTTTTTTCTTTGCGCTGATAGCTTTGAAGTTATGTTCTGATGGTGGTGAAAGTGGAGATGGACTGTCTTCGTGGCGCAATTGGCTAGCGCGATCGGCTGTTAACCGAAAGGTTGGAGGTTCGAGCCCAACCGGTGGTGGTGCGGCGCTTTTTTTTCTTTGGGGTGATAGCTCTGAAGAAATGTTCTGACGGTGGTGAGAGTGGAGCACGACTGTCTCCGTGGCGCAATTGGCTAGCGCGATCGGCTGTTAACCGAAAGGTTGGAGGTTCGAGCCCACCTGGAGGTGGTGCGGCGCTTTTTTTTCTTTGGGGTGATAGCTCTGAAGAAATGGTCTGGCGGTGGTGAGAGTGGAGCAGGACGGCCCCGTGGCGCAATTGGCCATTCCACTTCCAGCTTTCGAGCGATACGGTCGCGGAATGTTCGGCTCCGACGGAGCGGTATCAGCGGCCCGACCGGGCCGCGGTGACAGGGTTTTTGCGCCTAGCGCCGACGATTATCAGGTGATTTTGCCCAATCTGCCTTCCGGACGCATCGCTGCGAATACCGTTTTCATGCATGGTGATCCGAGAGCCCGGCCTTACCGCGTCGAAGACTACAGGGACACTTTGGCCAAGCTTGGTGCGCTCGACGACGTTTTGGCGTTGGGGGCGTATCAAATGAACCACGTATGGGCTGTGACACTGACGAGTGCTGAGGCTGCTCGGAAGTTGCTCTCCGCCATCGATGTGAAGGTAAAGGATCGCCCATGTTTGCTCATTGACCCAAATAACCGCGAGGTTCGCTTGAAGCTTCACTGGTTGCTGCACGGCGTGACCGACGAAGACGTGCGTGTTGCCTTGACTCCCTATGGGAAAGTGTTCGAAGTGAAACGGGAGAAGTGGCGAGCACCGGGCATCACAGAAAAGGGCTCAACGACGCGGTCTGTGGGACTAAAGCTGCACTCCGACGTCAAGGTGGATGTCATTCCGCACCAGCTCAAGATTGCCGGAGAGCTGACTCTCGTTGTCGTTCCGGGCCGTGCACCGTTGTGCCTACGGTGCAAGAGTACCGGTCACATACGTCGCGACTGCCGAGTACCCCGCTGCAGTCGTTGTAACCGCTTCGGCCACGAAGACGCCGACTGCGCGAAGACATATGCCAGTGTGACTGGACCAGCGCAGGAAAGTGATGCACTGGAGCACCTCATAGACGAAGCAGACTCGGAAGAAACAGCAGGAGTTAACCCGAGCTCTGCTGTGGAAGATAGGTTCTGATGATGGTGAGAGTGGAGAAAGACTGCCTCCGTGGCGCAATGGGCTAGCGCGATCGGCTGTTAACCGAAAGGTTGGAGTCTCGAGCCCTCCCAGGAGTGGTGTGTTGCTTTTTTCTTTGCGGTAATAGCTTTGAAGATATGTTCTGATGGTGGTGAGAGTGGAGCAGGACTGTCTTCGTGGCGCAATTGGCTAGCGCGATCGGCTGTTAACCGAAAGGTTGGAGGTTCGAGCCCAACCGGTGGTGGTGCGGCGCTTTTTTTTCTTTGGGGTGATAGCTCTGAAGAAATGTCTGACGGTGGTGAGAGTGGAGCACGACTGTCTCCGTGGGGCAATTGGCTAGCGCGATCGGCTGTTAACCGAAAGGTTGGAGGTTCGAGCCCACCAGGAGGTGGTGCGGCGCTTTTTTTTCTTTGGGGTGATAGCTCTGAAGAAATGGTCTGGCGGTGGTGAGAGTGGAGCAGGACGGTCCCCGTGGCGCAATTGGCTAGCGCGATCGGCTGTTAACCGAAAAGTTGGAGGTTCGAGCCCACCCGGTGGTGGTGCGGCGCTTTTTTTTTCTTTGGGCTGATAGCTTTGAAGATATGTTCTAATTGTGGTGAGAGTTGAGCAGGACTTTCTCTGTGGCGCAATTGGCCAGCGCGATCGGCTGTTAACCGAAAAGTTGGAGGTTCGAGCCCATCCGGGAGTGTGTGTTTTGCTTTTTTTCTTTGCGCTGATAGCTTTGAAGATATGTTCTGATGGTGGTGAGAGTGGAGCACGACTGTCTCCGTGGCGCAATTGGCTAGCGCGATCGGCTGTTAACCGAAAGGTTGGAGGTTCGAGCCCACCTGGTGACGGTGCGGCTGCTTTTTTTCTTTGGGCTGACTAGCTCTGAAGAATATGTTCTGGCTGGTGGTGAGAGTGGAGCAGGACTGTCATCCGTGGCGCAATCGAGCATTCCACTTCCAGCTTTCGAGCGATACGGTCGCGGAATGTTCGGCTCCGACGGAGCGGTATCAGCGGCCCGACCGGGCCGCGGTGACAGGGTTTTTGCGCCTAGCGCCGACGATTATCAGGTGATTTTGCCCAATCTGCCTTCCGGACGCATCGCTGCGAATACCGTTTTCATGCATGGTGATCCGAGAGCCCGGCCTTACCGCGTCGAAGACTACAGGGACACTTTGGCCAAGCTTGGTGCGCTCGACGACGTTTTGGCGTTGGGGGCGTATCAAATGAACCACGTATGGGCTGTGACACTGACGAGTGCTGAGGCTGCTCGGAAGTTGCTCTCCGCCATCGATGTGAAGGTAAAGGATCGCCCATGTTTGCTCATTGACCCAAATAACCGCGAGGTTCGCTTGAAGCTTCACTGGTTGCTGCACGGCGTGACCGACGAAGACGTGCGTGTTGCCTTGACTCCCTATGGGAAAGTGTTCGAAGTGAAACGGGAGAAGTGGCGAGCACCGGGCATCACAGAAAAGGGCTCAACGACGCGGTCTGTGGGACTAAAGCTGCACTCCGACGTCAAGGTGGATGACATTCCGCACCAGCTCAAGATTGCCGGAGAGCTGACTCTCGTTGTCGTTCCAGGCCGTGCACCGTTGTGCCTACGGTGCAAGAGTACCGGTCACATACGTCGCGACTGCCGAGTACCCCGCTGCAGTCGTTGTCGCCGCTTCGGCCACGAAGACGCCGACTGCGCGAAGACATATGCCAGTGTGACTGGACCAGCGCAGGAAAGTGATGCACTGGAGCACCTCATGGACGAAGCAGACTCGGAAGAAACAGCAGGAGTTAACCCGAGCTGTGCTGTGGAAGATGGGTCGTCATGCCGTCAGAAGAGGGCGTGTGTGAAGCACCAGGTAAGCCCGACGCCGGGCTTCCATATGAAGGCGTAGGCGAAAGTAGTGAAAAGGTGGATGCAAGCAGCACCGGCGACACGTGTCTTGGCTCAGCAGACGAGACCCCCTCCGAGGCTGAACCGATGACTGGGATTGAAAGCGACAGTGGCACTGTGACGGGGAAGCGTCCCCGTGACGAAGGGAAAAAAGACAAGGGCACCACTGCTGCCTCGCCGGACGAACCACCCGCCAAGACGACTCCCGCTCGGCGGCCTACCATCCGGCCACGGCCAAACATTTCGTCGGAGCGCAAGACGGCGGAAACGCCGCCTTCGCCAACTTAAGGACTGTACTGGGACAAGGCGTTCAGGAAGGAATTGCAGTTGTAAGGTAAGCGCCATGCCCTGGGTTTTTCGTAGCCTTACAATGGTGCAAATAGAAAATTCAATCCGTGTGGCCACTTTAAATGTGCGTGGCCTGGCCTCACGGAGAAAACAATGTCAACTTTATCGGCTAGTAAGTGACCTCGACCTTGACATACTGGCAGTCCAAGAGACTAAAGTCCATGGCGACGATGAAACTGGGGGCATGGTGCGCCAATTCTTGCCGCGGTATTCTGTTATAGTTAGCCATGCCATAGGGACTTCTTCCGGTTGCGTTTTGTTCGTCAGACAGAGTCTGGGTGCTAAAGTAGAAGCCTCAACGTCATGTCCGTCTGGTCGGCTCATTGTTTGTGATCTTTTGTTTTCGGGATTGGAATGGCGCGTAATATGCTTGTACGCACCGACTGTCACTGACGAAAGACGCATATTTTTCGAACAACTAAAGCAGTATACCAAATTGTAATAGGCTCCTAATCATTATTGGCGATTTCAACTGCGTCCTTTCAGCCAAAGACAAAACTAGCGAACGACATTACAGGGATGCAAGTACGGCTGTCTTAAGCGATATAGTAAGAGAACATGGTTTGGAGGATGTGGCTGAATGTCTCGGTGGTGGCCGGACTATGCAGTACACCCACTTTCAGGCAGCCAGCCATGCCCGACTAGATAGGGCGTACGTGAGTGTAGAATTGGTACCGCTTTGCAAGGCATACCGTGTTAACGCCGTTTCATTTAGTGACCACTGCTTGGTTAGCTTTGTAGTAGCTAGCACGAAAGAAACGAAAAGGGCCTTCGAGTGGCAACTATGGAAATTGAATTCGAATCTGCTGAGTGATGAAAAATTTATGGAGGAAGTAATGACGGAAGTTGAAAAAATGAAAGTTCGCAGTAAAAAGACGTTTAGAGAAAAATGGGAGAACTTCAAGCAGGTCGTTAAATTGAAGGCTTTGGAACGCTCGAGCGCTATAAGCAGAGAAAAAGGAGCAGAAGAAAAGCTCATGCGCAGAAACCTGGAAAAATTGCTCCTCGAAGAATGTAGAATGCCCGGCATGTTTCTTGAAGATATTCGCGCGTTGAAAAGTAAAATTGAGCGGTTCGATGTCGAAAGATACCGCGGTGCTATGGTTCGGGCAAGAGCCGAGCGACTGATAACGGCAGAAGCACCGTCAAAAAGGGCGTTGGGCTCAGAAAAGTGGCATGCGCGTCGTAATCAGATAACAGAAATTGAACACGAGGGTGAAGTCAGCGATGTCGCAGATGTTATCGAGCGTGCTTTCTTTGAGCACTTCAATGGTTTATTCGCCGCCAGCTCAGTTGATGTCGATCGTTTTAAAAAAGATTTTTTACCGCTGATGCCGAAGCTTGACAATAATGCAAAAGAATTATTGGAAGAACCCATTTCGGAAGAGGAAGTTAACAGTGCTATTGAAAGTATGCATCCCGGGAAATCGCCTGGCCCTGATGGTCTGACTTCCGCCTTTTATAAGTGTTTCAAGTTTGAAATAACACCAGTCTTAGCCGACGTTTATAATGAGGCATTCGAGCTGAAAATATTACCCCCGTCCTTTTCATCATCTCACACTGTTCTTATACCAAAATCGGAAGACCCCGTTGCACTGCGCAAAGTAAATTCTTACCGCCCAATCTGCCTCACTAATGGAGATTACAAGATATTCATGAAAATCCTAGCTAAAAGGTTGCAAACAGTCATTACGGAGCTCGTGGGGCCGCATCAGACGTGCGGCATTAAAGGTCGAACTATCCTCACGAATATACACGCAGCCCGGAGCATCCTCGAATGTTGCGACGCTATTGGTGCGCGAGTCGCAATGCTGCAAATCGACCTCGAGAAGGCTTTTGACAGGGTGCCTCATGAAATTCTGCTGTGCATCCTAGATTATGTGAATTTAGGGAAAATAATCAAAGAGGGGGTTGTCATGGCGTACCGAGACTGCTCAACGCGGCTAATCGTTAACAAGGTGGTGGGGAAGCGCATCCCAGTCAAGCGTTCGGTCCGTCAGGGTTGTCCTCTCTCACCACTATTGTTTTGTTTGTACATAGAGTCCTTTTGTTTGAGTGTCATAGAGAATGACTGTGTCCGTGGGTTTAAGCTGCACGAGGTTGAAGTCCGACTGTTGGCTTATGCGGACGATATTGCCATTTTTTGCGCGGACTCTGACAGCATAGCAGATGCTGTCAAATGCGTTACTAACTTCTGTGCTGCAAGTGGCAGCGCTGTAAACTGGGGAAAATGCCTTGGCTTTTGGCACGGTGACTGGGCAGAAACCCCAGACAGTTTTGCCAGCATAAGGTTTGTTACGACACCGGTGAAATACTTGGGTGCCCCCCTCGAATGCTACAAAGACAGCGACTCGTACTGGAGGAGCCAAGTGGATAACCTGCGGGAAAGAGTGAACAAGTGGAATGGCTGGAATTGGTCTATGTTTTCTAAAGCCACAATTTGCAACATATTCTTAGTGAGTAAAATTTGGTATATCTTACAAGTCTTACATTGTTCAAGGGTAAACATCCAAAAATTTCACCGTGTGTTCGCTGTCTTTGTGTGGGAATCGTCTTGGGAAAGATCGAGTCGGACCAATTTATTTCTTCGAGTGCGAAATGGAGGACTCGGCTTGTCGCATTTGTTTTTAAGACAGGTAGTCAATCGATTTTGTTTCTTTAGAGACGTCGACAACCCATTCCTTCGCACTGTCTGTCAACTTCGCCTGGGGCAACACTTGCCTAACATGGTTGTATCAACCTGCAGCGTACCTGGTGGTGTTTATGGCTTTCTCCGCGAAGTTGTACTTTCTTGTAGGTTTCTGTCAGTGCGGTTTTCACTTGAATACTTGAGTCAAGTCCGACGAAGAAAGTTGTACAAGGACCTATGTGATGTGTTTTTACCAGTGCCTTTGTATCGGTCCCTTTACAATGTATGCCATGGCCACACTGTACTAAAGCGCGTCAAGGCGATGAAAATATCGCCAGGTGCTAAGAATTTCTTTTTTAAATTACATACCGGTACGCTGACCGTCAAAACCTGGATGGCTGCAAAGGGGTTTCTACGTTCCTTGGGGCACGCATTGCATAATATGCAGAAAGGAGGAGACAATTGAGCATGTATTCATTGACTGCTGGGATGCTGTCTTTCTTTGGGACGTGCTCCAGCGCACGATCAAAAAAGATTTCCCCATTGATGCATATGGCATCCGCTATTTGCAAATACAAAGTGACGATGGTACCCCATATGATATGATAATGCTTATGGCTCTTCATAGCATTTGGAAATCCAGGATGGCAGCCATGCACTTTGATGTAGATGCACGAGCACCCACCCAGTACTTCAAAGAGTATATAAGAAATTTTGTGGATGAACAAAAGTTGCAGGAATTCCCCCCAGAATGGTTGCCGCGCGTCGAATTACTATCGACGATAAAAACATTTTAACAGATGCGTGGCCACATCGTTTGAGCCACGGTTTTTACAATGTTTTGGATTGTGTTGTGTATCAGTTAATATGTGTATTGTTTACGTGAGCCGAAAACAGGCAATAAAGAAAAAAAAAAAAGCGGCCATTGTAGCGCGATCGGCTGTTAACCGAAAAGTTGGAGGTTCGAGCCCACCCGGTGGTGGTGCGGCGCTTTTTTTTCTTTGGGCTGATAGCTTTGAAGATATGTTCTAATTGTGGTGAGAGTTGAGCAGGACTTTCTCTGTGGCGCAATTGGCCAGCGCGATCGGCTGTTAACCGAAAAGTTGGAGGTTCGAGCCCTCCCGGGAGTGGTGTTTTGCTTTTTTCTTTGCGCTGATAGCTTTGAAGATATGTTCTGATGGTGGTGAGAGTGGAGCACGACTGTCACCGAAGCTAAGCAGCATTGGGCTCGGTCAGTACTTGGGAGGGAGACCACCTGGGAACACCGAGTGCTGATGGCACCTTCTTTTACTTTTCGAAATTTCTCTTTTTTATTGCAGAGAAGGAACGTAGGCAGAAGGAGAGAGTTGTTTAATTTTGCGACGTGTTTGGTTGCCCGTATCAATCGCGCACATGACCATACGTATATAGGCAATCAAAATTTGATGCGTGCGCACATGTGGTTAAATGTTGCACCCAGTGCGCGTGACATACTCTATTTTTTTTTCAACCTCCCTTTATCTTTTATTTTATTTTTGTTCAAAGAAGGAACAGGGCGGGGGGGGGGGGGGCGTGACTTGCGGGTCAGCATCCGAGTGCCTTAGCCACGAGACCACCGTGGCCAGGTTACAATAGCATTAATGGGCATTCCAATATTCCTGCTTTATGTCGGTCCCTCGTGTGCCACTCAGTTATAAAAGCCGACGCAACAGACGTTCGTTAAGTTACAGAAAATGACTTACGAGCATGGCCGGTGGCGGCGGCCCGCAATTGCACACAGAGCTGTGCGTGAACGTTGGTGCGCCCGTGCTGGTGCGCCCCAGCGAAGGAACAGAGCAAGCTCTCTGCCGGAGAACAACAGACATTATTGTCACGTACCTTCGAAGTTCTTTACCAGGATAATATAACACGCTGCATAAGCCGTTAACTGTAACTTGGAAAGATAGAAATCGCCTGTAGTTCGTTATAGGTTGTGTTGTAAAATGTAGATTTTCGCCATCGGCCATACCATGCATTCCACTTCCAGCTTTCGAGCGATACGGTCG